ACACCAGTGTTCCACCCATTAGTTGAAGAGAGGAGACTTCAGCAGGCAAATTTGTTTAGTGAACTCTTTTGCAAAACTGTTAAAAGGCTATGTCCCATAACCAACAACAAAACCACAAATCACTTGAATGGCCTATTTATCCGATAGACCCTAATTCAAACAACAATATTGTCATTGAACTGAACAAGGATGAATAATAGATGTGCACCGTAACCAGTCAACTCAAATCCAAATAACAAATGACTCCCGAGCAATCGGCCAACGGTCAGTCTCTCACTGCTGGTCACTGATCAATTAACCCCTGTACGGCCCCCCTCAACATCCAACCGAGGGTTACTGTGACTGCGAACAAACACCAAATTGTATAACTGGGCCCTTGCCAAGGCCAAAAGCAGCAATATGCATTGCCAACCCCAACTATCCGCGTCCTTATTAACGAAATGCATCAAATACACCGTTTCTTCAACAAGCGAAAGTGACTTTCGCCTCCCAACTGTACCAAACTACATCATCCATGCGGCACACAAATTGGCAGCAGATGAATAGTATGTGCTACATACCGTCTAGAAAGCGATTATCAGTTTCACCCTGAAGTATCAGAAAGATAGCCATTAAACACAAAACTACAGGGGTGTAAGTAAACTAAATGGCCCTTTGTAAAAAAAAAAAAAAAGATCCCTTTTAATTGAAATGCTGTCAATATTGCAACAAAAAAATTATTTAAACAGAAGTAACGCAAACTTAACACATTTACTAAACAAAAACTTGTACAGACAAAATTATTTTCAAGTGATACAAATCATTTAATCGACTCACAAAACAGACTGAAAAAAGTAAAAAAAAATTTACAACTACTGTCACATAACAATTAAAACTGTAAGCTAAAAAAATATAACCGGTAAAAATGAAGGGACAAGTCACCGATAGATTAAGAATAAAATTAAATATGAACAACAAATGGCAGTAATTTACAAAGATAACAACAAATACTGACTTTCAGTTTTAAAGACTTATAAATCGCATAGGCTTTCCATCTTTTCCAATAATTTCTGTAAAAGCATGTGCACCGTTGTACTGAAAAGAATCATGACGTATGGCCCCGTGTTCTGCCCAACCCTAAAAACGTAACAAAATTAAAAAATGTTCTACATCCTGGTGTCAATGATAAGCACAAACAAAAAGTAGTCGAAAAGCATGTAGGATTTTCACATGCTACAACAAATGAAGAATTAGACTAACTAAAACGCTTACACTCTCATTCATCAATTCCTTCTTAATTGCTTGAATTTGTTCCATCTCACTAAACACTTGCAGCTCTTCCGTAGTTGCACTAGACCCAGGCTCCGATATTACAAACGCTCGAGTCTGTATCCCCTCTAAAAATGGCACTTCGTGGAATAATCGACATAACAGAAAAAATTTCATATCTGTCAGTTCACAACTTCAAAAAACTGCATTAAGAAAAATCCAAAAAAAACTAACCATGATGTTCAGAAGATTCAATTCGCATCGGCGTCATATGCCCAAGAAATGTGCGAGGAATAG